TGGATATATGCATAGGAGTAGTATAGCTGGATCTTAAGGAAGTGCTATTTCTAATTGTCTGAGAAAGCGCCAGACAATTGATTCCCAAAGTGGTTGTACAAGTTTACATTCCCACAAGCAATGGAGGAGGGTTCCCCTTTCTCCACAACCTCTCCCTATAAATGGATACTAGACCTATAAGATAGGAAAAACACACTAAAATCTGTATACCTAAAGAAGCTAAACAAGAAGGAGGACCCTGGGTAAGATGATCAATTCTCACCTAGAAAGACAAATGGGATGGACATTGGAAGAAGGAGAAAATAAGAAACAGGTCAGGAGCCTACCACAGAGTGCCTCTGAAAGACTCTACCTAGCAGTGTATCAAAGCAGATGCTGAGATTCATAACCAAACTTTGAGCAGAGCGTAGGGAATCATATGAAAGAAGGGGGAGTTAGTAAGACCTGGAAAGGACAGGAGCTCCACAAGGAGAGCAATAGAACCAAAATATCTGGGCACAGGGGTCTTTTAAGATCCATTCATGGATATAACCTAGAACCCCTGTTCAGATGTAGCCCATGGCAGCTTAGTATCCAAGTGACTTCCCTAGTAAGGGGAACAGGGTCTGTCTCTGACATGAACTCAGTGGCTGGCTCTTTGACCACCCCTTCCAAGGGAGGAGCATCCTTGCCAGGCCACAGAGGAGGACATTACAGCCAGTCTTGATGAGACCTGATAAGCTAGGGTCAGATGGAAGGGGAGGAGGACCTCCCCTATCAGTGGACTTGGAGAGAGGAATGGGAGGAGATGAGTGAGGGTGGGTAGGATTCAGAGAGAATGAGGGAGGGGGCTACAGCTGGGCTACAAAGCAAATAAAATGTAATTAATGTAAAAAATAAAAATTTAATTAAAAAAGAGAACATAAAGTTTGGTGTATAGAAAAGGGAGTGGGTCTGGAGGTGTTGAAAATTGGATGAGTGTGATCAAAATGCAGGTATGAAATGCTCAAAGAATAAAAATCCTGAAAAGAATAAAAGGAGAATCTTCTCAAATGAGGTCTGAAAGCTGAACTGGTATCTAAGTAGTGAGATATGTACATTTAGAGGACAGCTTGAGACTATGACCATTTAACAAAGTAATAGTAGTACACTCACTCCTGGGGCTTTTGAACGCCATAACCAGGTTCTTGGCCATATTTCTTTATTTGCATTGACTCTGGAGTAGGCCTTAAATCCAAACGGAAAGTGACTGGTGACCCTCGCAGCATTTGTGCCACCACTGCCCCGTGGACATATTCTGTGAAGTTAGTCATTACCACAGCTCACAAGGTTGATGACTCATCCCACCACAGCATCCCATAGGGCATCTTCCGGCTTTATCTGTGAAAGCTAGCCATCTTCCAGAGAGCTTTCTGCTTACTACCAACCTGACTTCTCCAACGCCTGACAGCTCTAAGGGTGTTGGTGTCCTCCGCAGTAATGTCTTACCATTCATTTCTGGAGGGCAACCAGGAGCAATAGCTTGCACTGTCTCAGGGATGGACCTAGGACATCTATGACTAACAGCTGAAAGGGAGGTATCCCCTACCCAGCACTGCCTCCTCACCTGGAGACCTGTGGCTTCTGGGACAACCATTATCCCTGGATGGCATAGCTTCAATTAACCTGATTGTGAAAGTAATGTATATGGATATATTGACATCCAAGAAGCTTTAAAGTAATATTTCCACATGACCTTTTCAAGCATCCTTCGTGTTAGTAATGCCTCCTCTTATTCCCTCCTCTAACCCATCCTCTTTCTCCCCACTTAAACCTTACCCCCCATTATCACCCCTTTCTCCTTCCTATTACCTGGATTCTACTATCTCCCTCACTTAAGATCTTCTCTCTCCCCGCCAATACAGTTCTCTGTATTCTGTAGGTACTCTATGTCAAAGCACACAAATAGAAAGATTTGAGACTAAGTTTCACATATGAAGGAGAACATGTGACATTTATCTTTCTAGGTCTTGGTGAACTATTAAATTCTCTGAAATGATAAGTAATAAAAAGGAGACAAGGATGATGTTATAAAATATGGTTTTATGGTCTCTGTCTTTTTTCCATGTCTATACATTTTTATCATTTTTCCTATACTCTGCTTAAGAATAAAGACACTTCTGTGCATTGTTTCTGTTTGCTTATTTAACCCAAATGAGTCCTTTTGGCATTACTGTCTTAAAAACAAGCTTGCAGGTCAATGAGCCATCAAAGAAAGCCAAAAATCCAGATGTAAATAAAGTCAAATGTTTTATCTGCTCAGCTGAGCCAGATTATCTCCCTCTAGCTAACTGTTCGGAGCTAATTCTTGGGAGGTTGTCATGGGTACAAAAGCAACAGGGCCACAGTACAGGAGCATGCTTGGCTGACCATATGAGTGATTTCCTGAAAAATAAAGCAATAAAACAAAAAGTTGTTTCAAACATTTATTTTAAATGATGCCTATGTATTATCAAATATGGGGAGTCACAGCCCATGCCCCAAATCCGGTCTAGACTTCTGTCCTCAGTAAAGCAATTAAAAGAGCCAAATTAAAAGTGGAGAGTATCACTTTTAAAAGTATCAAAGGAATGCCTATTCTATGTGACCACATCAGGAAGAGAGGCACAGTGTTCCGGCAACCCTCTCAGAGTCTTCCGGGTCCTAAAGTGAGGTCAACGCTTAAGTAGAAAGCTAAGGATGGGTATGCACATCTAAGCAGATTGAAGCATGGTGAGGCCCCACTAACCGATGACTCATCACTCTCCCAGTCACGGTTTCATCTTGTAAATGTCAGTTTCATCTGACAAGCTGTTAGAACTGTGTGACGTCTCTTTCTGGGAGACAAGTTCCCTTCCTTTCTTTCTTCCAGCATGAATATCTTTGGAGAATTTCTATTTCTTTGGTTCCCTGTTGCAACAGTCTGATAGATTAAGAGACACAAGTGTATCTCCAGATCTCCAGAACATCTTCATCTCTCCCGGAGATGAAGCCGTACATCTATGTGCGGCTCTGTGTGTAAGCGCATATGTGTACAGGTGCCCATGGAGGCCAGAAAAGAGTACCGGATGCCCAGGAGCTGGAGTGATGGACAGTTGTGAGTCACTCACTGGTGGGTCCTGGGAAACAAACTCCTTTATAAGAGCCCTGCACCATCTTTCCATCCCATGCTTTGGAAGGTAAAAGTAGTGTGGGTAAAACTTTTAGAATGCCACCTTTTGGAGTCCATATGCTACGATTTTAGCCTCATAGACATTGTTTACAGTCTAAAATTCTGTGCTGTGTTGACAGTGAAGAAAACCCTGACCCTCAGAAAAGCAAGGCAAGCACAGATCTGTCACACGTTTCAGTACAAGAGGTTCCTGGAAATGGCCTGCAGGTTTATGAAAATGTTCCACCAGGGAAGCAGAAGAAGGCAATGGGAAATGGCAGCCAGGGGGCCCAGGCCACATGCGCCTTGCCTTCAGATGAAAGCCAGGTGTTCTCCTGCAGCCAGGTGAGCCGTGGTCATAAAATGCACATTTCTCTACTGGAAGACAGCAGGACCTGTGACTCTCCACATCAAAGGAACCCACAGGTACTGATGATGAGACGCCCACAGGTCAGGCTATGCTTAAAACAAGAAGAGATGACGAGAACAAGCGGCTCTGTGCTGAGGGGGACTTCCTGTGTTTCGTCTGAAAAGCAAATCAGAATTTAAGACAAGTTATGAATATACCCTCAAAAAGGAAATACAGAATAACGAGAAAGGGGAAAAAAATAAGCCTGTATTTCAAATCTGTCCTGGAGAGCTGTTACTTGCTTTCTTTTCCTCTTCTTTTTCCATCTTCCTTGTGTGTGTGCTCATGTGCGTAGTGTGTGCACAAGTGTATGTGAACTCACACGTGGGATCATGTGTACATGTGAGGGCTGAGGTTGATATTGGGAATCAGCTTCCATCTTCTACCTTATTCACTGAGGAAGGGTCTCTTAATCAAATCCAGAGCTCACTGATGCGGCTAGTCTCGCTAGCCAGCTTCCTTTGGGGATTCTCTGTCTCTGCGCTTTGAGGATGAAATTGTTGCTAGGCCTCTACTCACACTCAGCATTTATGTGACTTCTAGAACCTGAACTCTGGTCCTCACACTTCCGCAGCCAGAACTTTAAGGACTGAACTGTCTTTTCCACCCCAAGAACGGCCACTTCCTAAGCAAAACCTGCCAAGTTATTTTGTTAGAGAGAATCTCGGACGTCATCTCTCCAAATCTCTTCATTTCCAGTTAGTTCTGGTCACACACAGTTACTGATCTCACTGTATTTTAGGCATAATGGAAAATAGACTCAGAGCAGTCAGGTGGTTTTCCCAGCATCACATAGGACTCAGTAGTTACCTAAATATACCACAATGACTCCTGACCCTGGGTAGCCTAAACTTTCACACACGAGCTCTGTTAGCTTCTGTGGGTCAGAAATGTAGGTACATTTGCTTCAGGTCTGTGGTCAGTGTTAATGAACATTGAGACCTCCATAGAGGCTCGCCTGGGAAAGGGTACACTTCCAAGCTCATTCATGTACTTGGTGACAAAATTCATTTCCTCTAAGTTGGCTAGACTGAGGGCTTAGCTTCCTCACTGGCACCAGCTGGAGGCTTCTCCGAAGTTTGCTCTGTGTCTGTAAGCCAATAAATAGGTCTGCTACCAAAATGGAAGCCACAATCTTAGCTGGTCACAACATGCCCTCATCACCTTTGTCATATGGTTTATCTTACACTCAGTGGAAAGGGGATTATATTAGGTCATGAATGCTAGGAGATCAAAATCACTGTGTCTGGATTAGAAATCTGTCACAGAACACATGGCTACAGACAACAGACTTTAGGTAAATGCACAAAATGGGTTCTTCCATTTTTTTGAGCCACGCAGAACAGTGTCAGAAGGGAAGGGTATTTGCTTTCCATCAGCAATATATTATTTTTCTAATATCCTATCAACTGCTATTTTAAGAGGTGATAAAACTATTTAAGTAGCATTTGTGTATGTTTTTGTTGAACTGGTAGACAAAGACATGAAAGACAGGTGCAAAAAAAAACACCCCTCTTTTGCAACCCATTAATTTTATGAATTTTGACACATGTAAGACACAGACTATGATACTCAAGACAGTGATAATGAGGTATCCCCAAGAGCTGATCATTTGAAAGCATAGGAACTAAGAAAAACTCTGATGAATTAGATAAGCATGCCAATTTTAAGGTCCTGTGGGTCAGGACCCCTTTTGGGGTTGACCAACCCTGTCACAGGAGTCCCTTAAGACCATGAGACATATCAGATCTTTATATTATGATTCACGACAGTAGCAAACTTACAGTTGCGAAGTAGCAATGAAAATAATGGTATGGTTGGGGGTCAGCACAGCAGGAGGAACTGTATTAAAAGGCCACCGCTTTAGGAAGGCTGAGAAGCACTGTGCAAGGTGGTTTGACACCCCCACTCCTACTCACTCTTACAGCTTGTTCTGACTGAGGTCTCGGGTTGAAGCTGTGTAACCCATTGAGAGTTTCAATGTAATACAGAGTACATCGCCAACGAAATGGCCACGGTTTTCATTTTCAGAGTTTTGAGGCTTTAATTTCTAGTTACGACACTGATTTCCAACAAACAAACAAACATGTCTGTTTTGGATTCAAACATCTTATAGTGCTTTGTGCTAGGTTTCACTTTATAGGGCAGTTTTAGAGAGCCCCGAGTCCAAGTAATCTAGAGAGACAAATAGTGCCTCATTCAGTATCATTTACAGTCACAGCATGAACTGAGGTAGAAACACTGGGTAGTTCATAGGTAAACGACTTGTACTGACTTGTGGAGTCTTTGAGCATTGTTAATTTTGATGTGTGATACCTTATTAATTTGCAAGGCTTTCTTTTTATAAAAAAATAACAAAATCAATTTTAAAAATCTTTTCAAAAAGCATTTCAGCAGTCACGGTCCAAGGGGCCCTCATGCCCACTCTTCATAATAATCTATTCTACATTAGCCATGTAAGTCATCACCTGAGCAAGGACACTTTGGGGAGAGAAAGAGCCAAGCCACTGTTAGGAATGAAACGACACTGGTGAACTAGGGCCATTTTTGGTAAACCTAGCCAGGCTGTGAGCCGCCTCCTTACAGTCAGAGTGGAACAAGAATCTTCCTTAAACCCAGGAGTCTCTGCTTGAGCAGTGAAGAAGGAAGGAAGCACAGAGTCCGCATGGATGGTGGGGGGGGGGGGGGGAAATGCAGGGACCGGGACGGAGCCCGTGCTGGCCTGCGCCTCTTCAGGAAACCAAGACCGCTGGAAGTCACAGAGGTCCTCTCTCACAATTGCTGACACACCTTTGCTGCTTGTCTCTCCGGCTCTGTAATAGCCCTGCTTATCTGAGACCGCTTCTCTTTTTCCCCCGCTTCTAATATTTCCAAATTCAGCGATGCAGGCTGGACATCAGGTTTGCCAGCGGGTGATGTTTGGACGAATGAGTTATTCCTTGATGTAACACTGACACCACGTTTTCAATGGCTAGGCTTAGTCCAATATTTCATCAGATGCTTGTTTCAGTATGGAAACCTGAAACCTTGCTGTCTGCTAGCAATCACTCTTGCCTTTTAACACAGGCAGCATACTCCCAAGCTGAGCCCGCAGCAGGCATTCGCCGAGTTAGCTGATCAATTAAAGGCAGCAAGCAGTTGACGATACTTGCTGAAGCACATGAAAATGCCGACTGGCTACAGGGCAAGCGTCTCTGTAACAATGCCTGCTGAAGTGAATACTTTTCTGGAGAAACAAAAGCTGGTAAAACATTTAAGTCAAATCGATCTTTAAACAGGATTCTGAATGTGGAAACCATTTCTATACACACATGGCAACAATTAGAAATGAGGGCTAGGAAAATTTCTCCTGTGAAAGACTTTCCAGAAGGCAAGAGCACACACGATAAAGCTTGCACTCCCAAGGCTCCTTAGAAAACAGCACCTCACCACTCCAAACACCCAGCCTCTCAAACACAAGTGCTGAGTGTGACAGTCTCGACGCTCACTGTCTTCCTGCGCTTTTCCTTAACAATGACAATGATAACCTAATGTGCTAAACTACTTCAAACTTCACATAGTACAATCAAATGTTTTTAATAGTCTCACTCCCCAGAGGCAATCGTTATTTACAATTTATTATGAAGCTTTCCATTTACATGCAAGCATGTATATAAACCATACTAGCTGTAAAACCATGGTTTGAATAGATTGCTCTCTATTATTAAGAACTTACTGTGATGTGCATGTTTGCCTACTATATGGGCATGAGTGTAATCAGTAACTCTCAGGAGAAGGAACTGTGGGGGCCAGAGGATAAATGTGTTTTTTTAGTCTGATAAACGTTGCCATACTGTACCTGTGTATAGTGATGGTGGTGGCGTGTGAGTGCCTCCAAAATATTTCCTAGTGTAGGTCCAGCCTACAATCTATCTGTGGAGAAGATCCTCTCTCTCTCCATCTTCTCTCTCTTTCTCTCTGCCTGTGTACTCCACAACACTTTCTCCTTGTCTCATAAGTGACATATTTGACCCTTTTGCACATTTTACCTTTTTGACTTAACATTGTCCTCATGTATATTTTGCATATTTGTGTTCCATTTCTATTTCTTTTATTTCTTCCTCTGTGCCTGTCTTTCTGAGGGATAGCTCTTCCCTCCTTCAATCTAAGCATTTCCCCTGGCTCTGGGTGGAGCCTACCATGTGCACAGATACCCTCCAAACCCTGCCTCATTGCTTCTTAGGGACAATTCAGTTTTCATAGCATTTTAATGACCCCTTTGCTGCAATGGCTCTGGGGTTTGAAAGCATAGGAGGTCTGTCTTTCCCCAAATGGATGTGAATGTTGGATGCTGGTTCTGGCAGGCTCGTAGCAAATGATGCTTAGTGATGCTGGTATTTAACTCAGGGTCATCCAGGCTTCTGCTTTTAAGGCAGCCTTAACTCACCCTCGTTTCCTCTGTTTTTTTTTTTTTTTTTTTTTTTTGTCAAATCCTGTGGTGATAAGCCTTTCGCACTGCACTTTGAAGTATGACCGTTTCTTGCGGAGGCTGGTTTCATCTGGCCACAGTGGAAAGAGTTCTTGCAGCTGGGGCTTTGTCTTAATTTAGCCAATGGGACCCTTCTGCAACTATGGAAACAAAAGGCACTAATTCTTTCTTTGGGTTTATATATTTTCTTAAAGGTTGAGATTTGCATTTTTGTTCTGTATCTCTCTTTACATTGCTTTCTGAGAAATGCAAAAGCTGTGGGGAAAGTGAGCCTGGCTCTGGAGAGATTTTCAAATGCAGCTTCCATTTGTGTCACTGGAGGCGGGCCCCAGTCCTTCCCAGCCAGGCCAAGAGCCTGCAGGGTAATGGATTATCTTCCCCTCAGCAGACTCCACGGGAGATGTTCTCAATGGTTTATGCATTCTGGCCGGAAAACACTCCCTGCAGATGGGAGAATTCTTCCTGTGTTCCCCAGCAGAGGTCCCGGGGGAATGAAGCTGGCTCAAAGTGTAAACTCCATGTGCTGTGAAGAGAAGATCAAGGGCAGATTTGGCACTAAGTGGTTACTTCAAGGTTTCCAACTGGTCTAGGCTTTCAAAAACAAAGAGTGAGTTCAAGTTGCTTTTACCTTGGGGAATGCTTACAGAAGGTGTCTAAATACCCGTCAAAATACCCAGATCTTAGCAGAAGGGAAGAAATCTGTAAAAGGAAAAAGCTATTGGTTCTACTTTGGGATAAGAAAGTAGGAAGGCAGGGGGAAAAATCATGTGACTCAGTTGCTGAAAACTGTTTCTTTGACCTGTCATGGTGATATGCTAGAGTTTAGGCATTGGTTGCACCTTCTTCAATTAGAGCAAGGGATACGTTTGTTAACTGTGTAATATACAGGGGGAAATCGACAAGAAACACAGGGTAAGGGTGGGGTGGGATCCGTAGAACCAGAAGAGAGTTTAAACTGAGAGAGAGAGAAAGACAGAGACAGAGAATGACAAAGAGAGGCAGAGAGGAAAATAGAGAGGCAAAAAGAGAATGAAGAAAAAGAAAGAAAGAAAGGGATGACAAGGAAAAGAAAGGGAAGGAAGAAGAGAAGAATGTCTGAGGTGAGTGGTTTGGACCAACGCCATAACCAAGAGCAAGACCAGCAGAGATGTTTTTCTGGTTGTCAAGGAAGGCTTAAAAGACAGAAGGTTAGCAAACCCTCAACATTACCAGTCACATTAAGCTTTGTTTTGTGAACTTTGCTCCCTAGGGAGGGCTACAACTTGGGGGTTTGAGGTGACAAAGGGCAGAGTCAGAGAATTATTTATTTCACTCTTTTCCATCTGGGCATCCACATTAATTGAGTGGATTCATTTGGTGGCATTTTTTTTTTGTTCCCTTTATAAACCTGGTCATGAAAATTAAGAATCATGATTGCAATATCTCGCGTGGTCTGTGAGTCATGGCAGGATGCTTTACTGCTCTGGCCTTTCCAGTTTTCTAAGTTTTGATTTGCTGAGTTCTTTCCTCCTCTTCTGTGCAGTTTTACTTATTATAATTATTAATGAGGAAGCAGAAAAATGGCTATTCAGTTGAACTTTTGGGAGCAGGACGTAATAAATGGTCTCTGTCTAGGATCTAACATTTGCCCCTAAATACAGTAATTATTAGGTTGCTTGATGATATGCTGAGTTTTACAAGGCTCTTATTAGGGAAAGAAAAAGAACATAATAAATCCACTAATGTGGGTAATGACTGGTATGGAAATTGAAAATGGTTCAAAATTAACCCACTCCTTTTTTCCATCTTCTAAATACCCCCCTGGGTCCTAATATTATTCAACACATAAATATACTTGCTTTTGATTTCAGCTAGTTCTGTACTGCCAAGACGCTCCAGAATTAATTGCAATTAAGTGCTATCTGGCCTTACCCAGGCACTGCCAACAGGCTCAGCTGAAGGAAAATGTAACAAACCTGTCGTGGTAGATAGTTGCACAAATGAGTCTGTAAGCTCTACATGGCTAGCTCACTGCGACCCTGAGCAATACCAAAAACGAAGGTGCTCAGTAAGGAAAAGCTCTCTGCTCAAGGAGACTGCTGAAGGGCTTCATAGCAC